CCCTCTGAATATAATTGCTTCCGATAAATTTGACACTTTTTCCAGTAATTTTTATCAGCATCAAATTATCATTGCCCTGCAAAAACGATGTAACCTATAAATCGATCGAGTGCGTTGTTGTTGGTTAAGATCTATTAAACACGGCTGCGTTTTAGTTTCCCCTGCAATTTCAGTACCGAAAGACAAATACGATTTGCAAGAAAAACAAAGATGCATGATATTTTATTTTTTCAATTTTTTAAGCATTTCTGATTTCCTCTGCCGGTTCGCTTCTTGCTTCTTAAAAGTCCAAAAATATTTACTGTGACTGTGAGAAAGTGCACTTATCCGCTGACCACCACGCAGGGTGACCGCTTCGCAAGTTCAGGGCGGAAAAACGTAATGAGCATGCGTGAACTTTTTTGCCCAGATCCCCTGGCCGGGTTTGAAAAAATGGCGGGATTTCAAATTTTTTATTGCCTAAAAATAAAATGTTTAAACTCATAACCTGGAAAGAACAGGCAATTTGTCTTCAAAAGTTGCAAGCTGTGCTTATAACCTTGTCGTTACTTAATTTTCTTGAAGAATACCTCATAGTAAAACGGACTTTAACGACATTAATTTCCCTGCGTTGTACTGGAAATGTGCATGCGTAGGTCCGATTTTTTTCAAGATGCATTCACAAAATGTGTTCATATAAGGAAGTTCCTGGATATATAAGGTCCGGAGCTCCACAGTGGACACAAAAACAACATATCTTTGGACAGTGATTTGCCCAAAAAAATTAACGCTTGCCCACAATGTGTTTGAAGTCACTGAACTTTGTCGCACTCGAGCTGATATTTTAAAACCCTCGCTCGATCGGACACTCGTAGTTTCGCAGATCACTAAAATATAAACAAAATCCTCAATGTAGAGGTTATTGCGTTGATATGTGGGCAGAAAAAAGGTCAATCTTTATGTAGTAAAATCTTCCCAAAAATCGGTTTCAAAGCAACTATGGTTTTTTAAACTTACTCGTTTCGCGCAGATATATAAATTTTGCTTTGTGTTGTCAAGTTGAACACGCATAACATCAGTCAAAAACCTACGCGTAAGTAGGATTTCCTTCAAACAAAGTTAAAGTTACATCATTTCAAAAACTTCTTGCTGAAAATGAAGAAATGAATTTTCTGTACGAAAACAACCTACCTAAAGATCTTAAAAGCAAAAGATCAGTTGCAACTTGGCAGCCTTGCCATGATTCACCATTTAGCTATTTTCAATAAGCTTAACTGGTCAATGCGAGGGTCTTCGTTTAAGAAAATTAAACTCAGCCGATCATTAGAAAATACAGAAAATTGCACATAAGGGTTTGTTTTGCTCACCTCAGTCGAATCCAGCTGCAGCAATTGTTTACGGGAAAAGAGTCAATTGTTTTGAAGTCACTGCCGGCAGTTGTCGTTCTCTACTTCACAGCGAGTGAAAAGGACAATTTGCGTTCAGAAAGTTATTCTTCAGAAAGAACAGAAACTTTCATAGTGCACTGGAAAACAAAACTGTGTAATGAAAAATGAAAAAACTCTGACTATTATTACTTGAGCAACAGAAAAATGATCTTGAGTAAGCTTGCTGGCCTTCTATTTCCGAGAAAGTTTAATAAGCGCACAAGTTTGTTCACTCTGATGCGTTATTACTTTGACTGAAGACAAAGATAAAGCTGGTTCTGCGAAGGTAATAAATCTGAAGTGTAAAAAAAGTAACCGTAACTACTAATAACAGAATAAAGCGGGATTTTAATTCAACTCGGCGAAATCAACTCATAAATTAATCGGATGCACAATCAGAAAAAATACTCGCCTCTCTGGAAATGTTCAAAACTTTTTACCGTATTCCACCTCAGACGGACGGAATGATCTGTTTTTTCCTTTAACATTGGTTTTTTCTGAATCCAAAGTAATTTTCAAGCGACGAAAAAATAGCAAAGATGTCAAATAAAAATTAATGCTTTACAGGGAGCAAACGTTCGCACCTCGTGCATTTCACTCAGAACTCCAGCAACAAACAAACACAGTCAGCACACAGAAAAGCCCGCCTTGAGCCTGCGATAAGGGATGCGCAGAAGCTTGCGCAGAACGTTTTTCCGCCCTGAACTTCGCAAGTTGTGAGAACATTGTTTCTTGGTCCCAGACCCTAGTCTCTTTCCCCCCCACCCCCCACCCCCCGCTTCATGACACGATGTTTGAAAAGATGTTGCTGAAGGCGGGGTTACTAGGCGTCCACCTTTGTACTCAAGCCGTTACATTAGCCTTCTTGGAGTTATAACTGTGAATTGCAAAGGATCGAGCGGGAACGCAAGAGCTGGCTAGTAATGACGGCATTGATTTGTGCAGGTATGAGGAAGCTAGCTGTATGACTGAAACGTTACCCAGCTAAAAACACTAAGGCTTAATAATTTCAAAGTGAGCGACGCAGGAACTGGACATTCTTTCAGCCTTCTCTGCTACTTTTCCTTGTTCCTTGTAAGAGACTTCAGTGTTTTCGATTTCTTCATTTTTCTTGGTGTTGATAATTGATAGAAGACTATTTACCGCTCTTGCTGCTTTAGTGGATCGGAGTTTTGCTTCTTGACTGCATGCATGCATTCTGAGTAGACCCTGTCGCGGTTTTGGAAGCCATCTTGACAAGTAGGCAACCGCGTGATGAGAATCTAATGTCGAAAAATGTCCGTAAAACGGCTGTTCTAAAAAAAATATGAATTGGAAACTGAAACTTCACTCCTAACAATTCTATTGAAAAACTTTGAGGGCGTTACATGCCGCTACATGCGCTGAAACCGCTTTTTAAAATTTCCTATAGGTTACATTTGTCTGTCAAAATTTTTCTTCCTGCCGACTAAAAAATCCCGTGCAGACAGATATAGCAAGCGTCTGGAGAAATTGAAGCACAGTTACGGCCCCAAACATTTGTTAGTAGAATCCTTTGCTGTGTAGCTTTAGTTTACAATTCACATTTTTTTGAGAACAGCCGTTTTACGGAAATTATTCGACATTAATAGATTCTCATACAAACACTGTAATTTCTCACCCGGTTACCTACAGATCCGGCCATTTAAAACAAAAAACTCAGTTTTTGCAACACCTTTTTTTAGTTTTCGGTAAACAAAGTATTTCGAATGGAAGCTGAAGATTTCAGCTTTAAAATGCTAGTTTTGGCGGGTTTAGAGCTTGAGAGACAGTTGTAGACTGGGGCGCCGTTCTGTTCAGCAGGTGAGTAATATGTGATATTTTCAAAGCGCAAGAGGAGCTTTCAGTCGTTTGCCTGTAGAAATTTACGTATAATTACGTTGTTATTGTTCTGGCCGGATACTGGGCAACATAGGAACTCTGCAAAACTATTAATTTCGCGATGCAAACGAAGGCAAAAAAAACAAACTGTCTTTCATCATGTAAAGAACTAAATAGATTGTCTCTGGGCCAAATTTCAGAGCTTTTGCGACCGAGAAACGAAAGTTAGGACCAGTTCAAACGTCGATCTTTTCATTTACCGAACCCAATCCCATCAATCAAGTACTTGAAAAGATCGACGTTTGAATCAATTTTAAAGTTCGACATATCTTGGGTCGACCCATGAATTAAGATCGAGTGGCCCACATGGGAATTTCGACTGTGGAGCCACTTCGTTTCGAACTTCGAACACTTCGTTTCGAACTTCTCATTTGCCGAACCTGATGCGTAAATTACTAGAATTTATTTTCACTTTTAAGCATTTTAGACCAATGAACATCGTGAAAATGAATTGAGTGCGACTAATTAAGCTCGACGTCTTAATCAACCGTCGAACTTATATAATTTTGGTCCACCTAAATAGGTATTAAGTTCGGTACATGAAAAGATCGACGTTTGAACTGGACTTTTTTGTAGTGTTAAACTGAAGTGGCCGGATACTGGGCAACATACTGTACTTGACAAGATGGCTTCCAAAACCGTGACAAGGTGACTTCTTTGCTCATCTTTGCTGGATAGAGCACCACCCTTATCTTAGGTTGTAGTAACTTCTTTTCTTGTAACCACTTTCTTCGCTGGGTAAATTCCAAGTGATCCACGTACAATTCGGAACTGGGCAATTACGGCACACCCGCTTAACCATACAGATCGTTTGAATTCAACCCCCCAAAAACGGTTTCAACAAATTTTAACCTTATAAAACTGTTTCATTAGAAGGACTAAAGAGACAAATCAGGACGAGACAGACATTTTAGGGACAGTAAGGACAAATCGAGGCCTTTCAGGACAAAAAGACACATTCGGGACGTTGAAGGCTTTTTACGTTTAGCTTTAGCGCGGCGGTTACAACCTAACTAGTTATTAAAAGACGTATAGGAAAAAAAACATTATTTTTCAACCAGTATTTGCCCAAACATGCTTTGTTTTTTCTTCCAAAAAGGCAGAAAAGTAGAACGATTGCCTAGCGACACCAAGAATCGCTTAATTGCAATTCTTTCCAAATATCCGTCATCAGCAAATTAAAACAAAAACTCATTGTGAACTGAAAACACTTTATTTCAATCCTGATTGGTTAACCAAAAACCTTAGCTACTTCGATTTCGATAAACGTGATAAAATTTCGTTAATCTTTTAGCCATTGCCATTGCTTTGCCGTTCAAACTAAGACAACACTCAACATTTTGTCTATTGTCTATTAATATTACTTTAATAGCGGGTAATAGGCCTAGACTGGTCTTTTATATCTAGTATAAAGTTGTTACGCGAAATTCCAGTTATTAACATATAAAAAGAAATGACTATCCACTTAATAGTATGCAGGAAGAGACAGACTAGACACTTAAATAGTATGCGGGAAGGCACAGACTCGCACTTGCTAGGCTAAAGACGGGGCAACTAAACCCCCTCAAAAATTAAATACGATACACTACTGAGATACACCACGTGAATCCTAATACCCACGCCTCTCTTTGTTTTTGTTTTATTTTGTTTTTTATTTTATTATTTTCAGAGTGAGGAATTCTAAAGGGATCAGAGATGGAAGTAATCGACGTTGATTCACCGCCACCTGCCGTCTGTGAAAATGAAAACCTCCAGGAATTATTTAGCGTTGACTGGCGCTCAGCTTCAGACATGTTCTGGCAGCTGGAGAACAGAAAAAGCTCTCTCTTGGAGTATTTATCAGAATATGGGCCCCGTGACTTTCCGAATTCTAAGAAAATATTGAAGAAGTTGAAACGAACGTTAACCAAGTTAGAAAGCGGTGAACCGTCGCACCATGATCATCCTAATGGCTCGGAGAAAGCGGAACTCAGCAAATTTCGCGCGCTTTTGGACGACGTTGCTCGTCATGTTACCGTGGCAACCGTACGTTTGAACCAACCGGGACTTCGCAAGTTTTTCGTTGAAGGAATCGGAAAGTATGTGTTGTCATCGTTGGAGCGACGACACTCGTGTTCTATCGAGCTTGTTTGTGAGAGTCCATCGCCGGTCGCACTAACGGAGGGACTGGAATCCAGATTTTCATCGCATTTAGTAGGAGAAAGTTTGTTTGCCCCGTCAGAGGTATGCAGTCGTATTGTACTCAGAACATTTTACACAAGTTTCATGTGCGTCATCGCGCACAGTTATGGAGCAGGTTTCCAGATTTTTTTCCAGTTCGTTGTATTTATATTCTTATCCGTTAAGATCAAACGAACTTGGGACACGGTGGATTACCCTTCTACGCAATTGTTACATAGGACTCTGCTCCTAATGACAATTTTTGGATCGGTTTTGGGTTCAACCCTTGATTCCCCAACTCCCCGCCCCACAATGTTGTGATCTCAAACGGACTCATTTCCACCCATTTTGCTCCTTATTCAACATTGTTTGGGGTAGGAAGGGTGAGGGGAAAGGTCCCCAGCTTCACTGATGTCACTAGGCGATTTTGGTGAGTTTCTATAGAGCGTAAACTGAATAAGTGAAATTGGATGGACTATTGACCTGCTGCAAATATTGTTTTCTTATAGGACGAAGAAGACACCCCATGGAATGGACTTCCATCTTTAGCAGATATTGTGGAAGTTTCGAAACAGGTTAGTTTACATGTAAGAAGAAGGAGTTATTTCTTTTCTTACTAGAATTCCCAAAAGCTAAATGATCCTCTCTGTTCGACTGGTGAAACGCGTCTGAAATCGTTGCATTTATCGGCCATGTTCTACATACAATAGTTAAGGCTATTGTTAATAAAGAAGAAGAAAACGAGAAAAAACCGAGAGAGAGAGAGAGAGAGGAGAAAGGAGGGAAGGAGGAGAAAGAGAAAAAAGCAACGGGCTATGAGTTTATTGACATTTTGTTTTTTAAGAGCATATGCCAATCTTTTTTCCCGCGTGAATTTGTAATATGATTCAAACCCCCTCAGGCGAAATAAGTCCACCTCGAGAGTTCGTCGCTCGCTCGGTCGCTGTGCGACCTCGTGCATTGAAGCTCTCTTCGCTCACTTTTAAGAACTTATGAGAGGTCGACTTGTAGCAAGTCTATCCTATGTCTGAAGCTGAGAGAAGCTTTATCCGGTATGAATAGTTATCTGTTATAGTGTGATTTTACCCTAAGTGTCAGATAATTGTTGATAACTTGTATTTCTTTGAATTGAAAAGGGTGAATCTTCCGAGGTTGAGATGGAAAAAAGGATTCCATCACCGGTGGCTACCTCAGTGGAAGAGTGTATATGTATAAAAAACACGCATATCCGGATAACAGTGGGTGATTTAATACAAGAATTCACAGACGCTGTCCTGATTTTGAATAACGAGAGATTGTGTTTAAAGAAACGCGGTGTATTGAATGCTCAGATCGCTCGCTTTGCGGGTGCTGGCCTCAAAGAAGAATGCAAACGAATCGTAGAGAGAAGTGGCCCTCGACTTCCGGGCGAGGCGCTCATAACAGGATCAGGAAACCTCCCGTTCAAGCACCTTGTTCACGTTATCAACTATCCAGGCTCGCCCAAAATCCTCGACCTACAACTGGGCGTCAAGCGCGGCCTTCAGCTCGCCGACGCCCATGGACTCAGTTCCATTGCTTTGCCGGCTATCGGCGCGGGGAGTATAGGGTTGTCATTACAAGACTCGGCACGGATAGTGTCCGGGGGTATCCTGAGCTTTTTGGATCGCCCTCCCCTATTTCTTCGTGAGATCAAAGTCGTGCTCTATTTGGAGAGAATGTTATGGACTTATTACACAGAAATAGAGACACAATTTGTCCCTTTTATAAATTTGGAAGAGTATTCCCCTCTGTCTTCGTTGGTTCAAGGCAAAGAACCCATTCCAACGGTACTTCAATGCTCAAATTCGCCTCCTTCGCTCGAAAACTCACTTGGTAACAGAAACCGGAAGGCGCCAATTTCCACGACAGAATTTCGTATTTATGGCAAAGAGAAAAAGAACATCATGGCAACCATTGATAGCTTGCGAACGGTTTATGCTAAGCACCGGGCGGTTCAAAGGATCGGCCACAAGTTGGTGCCACAGGTTACCCGATATTGTTGGCCATTGCTCAGTACTGTTGCCTCGCAATATGACGTAGACTTAATAACTGAGGATAGCAACAGTTCTGCTTTCACTGTATGCGGCAACTCGGAGGACGTGTCTTTTGTTGCAGGCCGCATTTGGGAGGAAATAACGCGATTCGCGGAGCAGCAAAATGACATTAAGAGGCGCAAGCTCTTGGCTCATTACGTTCGCTGGCATTATATAATTCTAGACCAAGAGATTGGTTTTAACGACGAACTCAGCGCTATCATCGAAGATGCCAGGAATCGAAAATGTGAAGGAGTAAATCTTCTTGTCAACGATTGCGAGTACAGAGTAGATTTTAATTCTATGACTGTGTTGTACAACCGCAGCAATTATCCACCGCTTCCTTTGTGTCGAAGAACAAGTGCGGAAGCCGGTAGGTCAGATAGATAGATAGATGGATAGATAGAAAACTTTATTAAATAATGTGTCGGAGCAGTATAGCTTGGGAAAAAAACCAGTCTAAATAGGGGACACAATTTATAATTGGAATTACGTATACAAAATAGATTACCAACTTTAAATTTGCTGTTCGTCATTCGCCACTTGACCAATAGCTGACCAGCGCGTCCCCAGTAACGATCCAAGAACAAATTGCGGGACGCATTTCGGCTCCAGTTCCCTTTTCGTTTCTTAAGTGGCGAATATGATCACCACCATCCGAGAAAGAAACGGGGCCAAGTTCACTTTCGCAAAGACCTTTGGGACTGTTACTAGAGACAGAGAAAAAAACTGGCCAATAGCTGACCGCGCTCACCTTTTACATTCACGCGCGAACTTTCATACACTGCCTCTATTTTATTTACGCGCGCACGCTCGTAAAAATTACGCGACAGTGGAAATTCACCCTTATAACGACGTTTTAATAACTTTCGTTTTTACTTTCCCAGCGGATTTCGTCCCTTACTTCTGGACACCTCAACCGTCTTTAACCGACGGAGCTCCAGCTCCCATTGCCATGGTAAATATCTTACCAGGGAATCCAGAGTACCAAAACGTGGCCAGTATGTTTTATAGCACAGGAGGAAATGGTAGCATAGTAACCATCGAGCGAGTGCAGAATCCGGCCCTTTATAAGCAGTACACGATGCACAGACAAGAGGTGGAGAATAAAAATGTCAACCACAATGAACGGCAATTGTTTCATGGTACGAAAGGATGCAATGTAAGGGCCATCAACTCACAAGGATTCAATAGGAGCTTTTGCGGAAGGAATGGTTAGTCGACTATGTAGTTCTAGTTTTGTCCCTGTTTTGTTTCAAACCTTTCTCGCTTTAAAATTCCACAAAACTTCCAAATTTCAGTTTGTGATGCTTACAAAAAAATTACCATGAGAAAGTGCTGTCAAAGAGGTTTCATGGAAATTTGCTTCAATCAATCAGAAACACTACCTAGATCAAGGGTCTGTACTTGTTTCTCAGACGTCACTTTCGCGGTGAAACTGAATGGTGGCGTCGCGAAATGTCGGCTGCTCTAAGGCATGGATGGGCCTCAATTTGCTCATTTCAAAAGTGAGGGGATAGTCTATATCTAAGAGCTTTAGATGTAGACACACAAAACTTTGCCAGCTTCTCACATTTTTAGTTTGTGCCAATTTCAAGCTTTAAAGTTATGCAAATTAGGTCACGTGAACTCCATCAGCTGAAAACTTCCCGTTTGTTCTTGAAACGGCAACACATTTTCGTGTGTTCTCAATTGTTTTACCCGTTTTCATCATGTTAAGGCCGTTTCATATATCACTTCTGTGCTTGGCCTTTTTTAGATATTTAAAATCGAAGGCGTTAAGAAGGGATACAATTGCCTTGGGGGACTGGGTCTAGTTGAAAAAACCGTTTATTTTCTAAAATAGTAACAAATAAACAGCCTAGTCACAATGCAAGGCGCGCGTTCTTGGCAAAGTCAATTCTGAACTCGGGGCAAGAGAGAAAGCCTAGGGACTAGGCTGGGAAATACAGTGAACTCTCCAACCTCGTCCCCAGGGCGTTTTCCCTGGATTTGCAAATATCGAAAATGACTAACAGGAAAAATGACTCCATTTTAATTCCAAACCAATTCTCTGTTGTTTCAGGAGCAGCTTATGGAAACGGCGTGTACTTCGCTGCAAACGCCTCGTATTCGATGGATTTCACAGCACCCGACAGGAACAAGCTGAGGTACATGTATTTGGCCCGTGTTGTTGTGGGGCTCTACGTGGAGGGCCGTAAGGGCCTTCTAGTACCTCCTTCGCTGCGCCCTGAGGTTCCTGAGGTCCTGTTTGATTCAGTTGTGGACAGACAAAGTAATCCAAGAACATTCGTTGTATTTAAGGATTCTCAGTGTTATCCCGAGTATTTGATTACGTTTACATAATTTAGAGATACCTCAACGCCAGTCTGGGACTATTTTGTTCCATTTTGATGGGAACACTCAGCCAAAGTTAAGAGTCAGATCTATCCGCTGTAGGAGTACATTGCTAAGAGACAGAGCTGTTGTAAAAACGTCATTGAATAAATAGGCTAGAATGTTGCTTCATGCAGGGTGTTAAACGAGGACTACTGTGGGAAGTCAATCATCTTTCGTTGGCAAGAACTAGACAAGGTTTCCTGGGTACCAGAGTTTATTCTCTTGCTTGCGGCGGTTGATTGTGGCGGTTGATTGCGGCGGAGATGCTTCAGGGTCGACCGAAGGCCCACACGTCTTTGGCCTTTTGGACCGAAACCGAAAACCGCGTACGAAAAGTCCTCGGCGCCCAGGCTCTAGACAAGTGCAATTGCCCAAAAAGGTGTGGTTGTGGTATTAGTATTTTTGTAGCGAATTTCAGTCTCTTCATGTTTTCATATGTACCTTACTTTCGAGTGAGACCTGTCCTCAGTAGAAAGATTACACGGCAAGTTAACCATATCCTGACTTTGAAGCCAATTGCCTTATGTGCATGTTATGTATGTGGTCAACAATTATGCCAATCTTATGTGAAAAAAAAAAGGTTTCTACAAAATTTGACTTTAACATATTGCCAAAAAGTATTGATTAAAATAATTGTTTTGAGAAAGTTAAAAGGCTAAGACTAAAAATTGGTAAAATAATATACCTAATTAAGAAAAATAAAAGTGTTAAGAATTGTCTGTTAAATAAAGAGTTTTGCACAGATGGTCTTTTACGCGTGGATATACTGGATATAAAGACCATCTCGTAGACGAGGCATTTAAACTCGCTTTCCGGCTGTCACTAAGATTACAAGTTTCTGGGTACATACAATGAGTGGGCGGGGAATTAAACATGTGGAAGTTGTCTGAGTTCCATTTTTCTTTTGTCTCTTATCAAAGTAGCCGCCGGAGTCATGCTCATAGAAGCCGGGAGTAATCCCGGGCGTTGGTGACGGTATGCTGTGTGTTTGCCAAAACATGGCAAGTTAAGTTGGCACTTTGTACAAACATTTTTGCAAGTCTAAACCTATCTTTTCACGTAGGTTTTTTGCCTCCAAAAAGTGCTGCGCTTTTTCTTTTGCTTTTTAATGCCGTTTACAGTGTGGGCATGTTTCCAGTGATTATATTCAACACAAATATCGATACCCGCCCCCCCCTAATGGCGTGACATTTTTGACATGTGAAATTGTGTTACACAACTTTGCTTGAGCTTTCTGAGGCTATGTTCTCACACAGAATAGCTTTTCATGCAGTCAGTGATACCCACACGAAAAGGAAACTGCCCACCCACCCCACCCCTAACCCATGTTTCTCACTGACGTGTGACTTAAGGGCAGAAACATGGGTTTGGGGTGGGGTGGGTAGGCAGTTTCTCAGAAACCTAAACTAATCCCAAAAGGCTATCCAGTAGCGTATGAACACCTATCCGATTTTAGTCAGTTTTGGTTGGGTCGTTTTCGAGACTTCGTCACTCAAAAAAGTCGACTTATCGGCAAGCCTAAACTATGTTAAGTCGTTTAACTTGCTTGACTGAGCCATTTCACCCCTGGAATACGAGGCAAATGAGACAGTTTTAACTATTGTCTGTGGACCAAATCTGAAATGGTGTGAACATTCAAATGAAACAGTTCAGCAGTACTTTCGCTTGACACTGTTTACGTTAGCAATAACTTGAGGTCTGCAGACGAAATCGTTATATGTGAGCATTTAACAAAATCTCTTTGGAAGAACTTTCACACTGTACTTTCTGTTTTTGAGGATGTTATAAGACCCACTTTGGAGAAAAAAATGCAAAATATCATGAGTGTACTGAAAAAACAAATAAACAAAACATCGCCCCTTGTAAGGGAATCCAAGACAGTCTTGCATACTGGATTCTATTCCGTGGATTCTGGATTCTTTGTTAGTGGAACTTGGATTCTGAATTCCAATTCACTTGTTAGTGGGATTCCGGAATCCATGAGCTTAATTCCCTGGATTCCAATCCCACAAGCAAAAATTTCCGGGATTCTGGAATCCGGATTATCTCAGATGGGGCGAATAATAAAAATAAAATAAAACAGTACCTTGTGAAATACCACCAAGAGACACGGTTCTAGCTGTGATGTTCCAAGTTACCCTGGGTCCATTCCCCTTGGGGGAATCCAAGAGCAAGCCCCATCTTAATACAGGGTTCATACAAAAAACCGGGGGGGGGGGGG